CTCTCCCCTGCGAGCCTCGGTTCTCTTTTCTGTGAAACGGACCCAAGGCTCTGTCACGTGGTCGCTGTGAAACCGAGGATGCCGGGGCCTCTGCAGGCGGCCAGCCGCGCGCTCAGCCCGCCGCGTCAGGGCCTAAGGCCTTCCGGGCCCTTCCCTGCGAGACACCCGGGCGGACAAGGCAGTGGCCTCTCCGACGCCCAGCCTGCCGAGGAGGGATCCTGGGCAGCCGCCCACGGCACTTTAAGGGCCCCAAAAGCCGCTGTGTTCCAGCCCATTAGCCTGTGACCTGCCAGTTAACAGAAACCACGGGCCCTGGCCACTCAGCCGGGGAGGTGAAAATAAACGGTGGGGAGCCCGCTCGATCCTTCCGGGCCGCGGGCTGTCCCGCAGGTGGTGCAGGACGGCTGGCGACTTGTTTGTGACAGGCAGCCCTCGGGGCCTGGGCCGGGAGGGGGCAGCAACGCCAAATGCGCCCTCCTCACCGGGATCTGGGCGGAGGGCAGGAGGGGGTCCAGGGAGCTGGGCAGGAAGGGCAGGGACCCCGCCAGCCACACCCACGGGCAGGCAGAGCCCCGGGGTCCTGGGATGGCCACCAGCACCCACAGGAGTGCTCGGTTCTCAGCCCGGCCGGCCGCCTGAGCCTCCAGGTGCCTCCACGGGCTAGGCAGCGGGGACCCCCGGCCCCCACCTCCCCACCAGGACCCTGGCTGGGAGCTAGAGCGCAGGCCACAGGGTGGTGCAGGCCACGCTCCTACTCAGGCCCCACCCACCCCGAGCGCGACATGCGACCACCAGGGCATCGGGCACACGGAGCAGCCCCAGGGCAATGTCCACCCCCTCCCAACCCCTAGGCCCCCCATCGGCCAGCGCGGTGTTGCTTCGCTGCGTGCCCTGTCTGTACCGTTCGCACCGCGACCCAGCAACTGACCCCGACGGTCCCCCTTGCAGGTTGGAGCGGCAATGCCAGTTTGCGTGCCCAGTGCGTGGGCTTCAGGGCCGAAGGCGGGCGTCAAGCCCCTGCCCCCACCCAGGAAGCCGGAGCCCCTGGGCAACCCCCCGCCTCAGTTTCCCCATCTGTACGGGGTGGGCCGGAGCCATCCTGCAGGTAGGCAAAGCCCCCAGGCTGGGTGTCAGCGCTGCCCGCTGGAGGATGCCCTTCCGCCCAGGGCTGGGGGCCGCTCACCATGCTGAAGTCCAGGAGGTCACTGAGCTCCTTGTCCGTGCCCACGGGCGCCATCCTCTGGGGCTGGTTCATTCTCCAGCCGCTGTGGCCACGGTGCAGGCACGCTCCTCTGGCCTAGCGGCGGCCCTGCGTGACAAAAGCAAGGTCAGATGGACACACGGGGCCACACGGACATGGGAGGCCACACAGAAGGACGGCCCTGACTGCCCGCGGGCCTGGATTCCGAGAGGCCCCTGCAGGAGCGGGCTCCCAAACGCAGTCTTTCATGGCCCTGCAGCAGGACAGTGGGGACATGGGTGTGGGTGTGGGTCCCTGCAGCCCGTCCCGGAGCCCCCACGGGGCCTTCACGCTGGAGGGGTACAGACAGAAAGCCCCTCGCTCCCGGGAACCACAGTGCACATTTTAAACCGCACCAGGGCAAGGCCAGAGTGCTCCCACCTCCCTCCCCGCGGTTCCGTGGCCCTGGGCTGCTCTGGGGGAGAAGAGGAGGGGAGGGGTGGCCCTCGAGAAAGCTGGTGACACCGCCCCAGCAGCTGTCACCGTGAAGACCTCATCCCCAAACTCAGAGAGACCCCAAAGTCAGAAAGGGGGCCAAACGCCTTCCTGGCTTCATGACTTTGGGGGTGTGGAACAAGCAGCAGAGACCTCCAAAAACGTCCCTGCACACAGGCAAACCCTCCTGTCCCCCAGAAACGCAACCGAATTAAAAAACCGCCCTGTGGCTCTACTGCCACGATGTATCCGGGAATCACTTTCAAGCAACTTTGAAAACATCTCGGGCCGCCCCTGGGGGAGGGGAGCCCGCGACCAGAGCTTCCCGGCCGAGGGGGGACCCACCTGCCAGGCCCCCCCAGAGGGGCAGAGGGCGCCGGCCGGGCGGGCTCGGAGGCTGCAGAGGGGACTGGAGGGCCCCACGGGGCAGGGGAGAAGCCCCTCCGGGCCGGCTCCGGGGTGTGCAGGGCGCGCCCCTCCCCCGGCTTCCTCCGCCCTGGAGGGCGTGCGAAACTGACTTCTGGGGCACAAACCGCACTTTCTTGTGGGGCAGCCGAAAACGACTGACACAAAACTCGGGGAGCGGGGGAGCAGAAACAGG